CGGCAAGGCGGAGCATGCGTCAATCGCCTCACCCTGTACACTTACCAGAAAGCATGACTCCTAAAACCATTCCCCCTAGAAAACGGACGGTGATTATCTGAAGTGGAATCTTTGAAGAAAAAAACACACATTAATTAGATGGGAAAACGTTAGAAGACTAAAAGCCTTCAACCAACCTCCTTTCAAAGAACTTTTGTCGCGACTAAAAATGTCTGTCTGCTTGGTGTAGATTAAAAAACATATTAAAAATGCAATGCTAACCGTCTCCATCTTTCCCCACCAATCTCATTCGATAACATTACAAAATAAATACAGAAATATTTTACTAGGTGCCAACATAATTAGATTAGGGAGAAGTTTACTCGTATTTATAAAAAAAATCGTTTTACATTTGTTAAAAGGAATAAATTGGTTGAGATATACAGAGTATAAGCCAAGTAACTTTGAAATGTTTTTCGTTGCTTAGTTACATTTTATGACGAAGGTATTTTTTCACTTGAAGCAGTGGCTCGATCGTCACAAAATGTTTTCTATAAATTTTTGTGGCAATTTCGATTACTTATTCACAAAATTGATCTGCTTTCCGATGTTATTACATTGTAAATATTTCTGATTGATATTTATTCGCTTTGTAAAATAATTGAAAGACATTCAGAAGGGTAGAACATTTTTTGTTTCGTAAGGCCGATTAGACAAATGCGTTGCAGGAATTAATTGTTTATGGCTATTCACTGAATGACCGAGCAAAGAATTTCCATTTTTCTTTACGTCATGTGAATTTCAGCAATCTCCACAACTGAAATGATTATAAGGCTAAAAATGTAGTAATTCAATGCAATTAGATCTGTTGGTTGGCTGGTTAGTGGTTCTGTTTAGTTGTTTCTTTCTGTTGGTTGGTTTTGAATATCAAACTCATGCCAAAATTAAAATATTTTGTACGCAATTTCTTTTTCTTTCTTTCTTTTCTGAGATAATAATGGTTTAGTAAAACAAGTCTTTACTCATTAACTCATAACTGGGAGTGGGGCAGAAGAGGAGGGGTTCGTGCCTTTCTCAAGGGAATATACTCGTAAATGAATATAACGAATCCAACTGAAATCGGAACTCTGTTCTCCGATTTTAAATTTCGAACTATTATCCACTACATCACCCGCACATCCACGCTTACAGCACCTGGTATTCACAAACGGTCATCTATCAGCTTACTGACTAGGTTAAACGTTGTTTAACTTCTACAGTCGTATAGGAACTGAAAGATGTAAACCATTGTTTAATTTAATATGGTTTACATATATATATATATATATTTATATATATATATATATATATATATATATATATATATATATATATAAGAGGTCTCCAAATCGCAATATAATACATAAAAGAGGTCTCATGTTTCAAACTTGTTTTAAAAGAAAGCCAAAAATGGTAACAGCTATGGTGAATTGTCTAAAAATTCAATATAATCCTTTCAAGGGAAAGGTGGGGTGTCTAAAAAATTAAATTGAGTTGAAAGTAAAATGGCTCCGTTTTTCCACCTCTTATAGCGAAACTACTAATTTTTGGAATAACGTATATCTGAGCACTATGAATCTGATGATTGCTATTTTTAAAAATTGAAATCTAAAATCTAAACCAAAAATCTGATGATGTCACAAAACGTTAACTCGTGCTATTATTTAATGATTATGAATTGTCTAAAATGGGTATGGCGAGGCTAGACGATGGCCAACAATCTTATTTATCCCTCTACTTTTGTATCATTTTAGACAATTGAGCACTATGGGGATTTTTTTTTAAAAATAATAACTAAAATACTAGGGACTTTGGATTATTTACCTAACCAGTTCCTTCCTATTTTATATATTTTTCACACACACACACATATATATATATATATATATATATATATATATATATATATATATATATATATATATATTTTAAGGTGTGTTATATTTATGGGATTAAGTGCCCAATGGCAGAGATAGAGCGTATGTAAATAAATAAATAAATTTATATATATATATATAACACGGCTCGATCCTAGGTGCTACCGACGCTGGACAGTGCTGGTTAACTGCTGGTTATCTATTGACCGCTTCGTTCCTTCATCTGCCTAGCCCCAAAGTTGTGTTCCTTGATCACACAGTGGTGAAGACCGAATTTCGTCCGTACTTGAGCGCTGAAGTGAGTTACGGCGGAACCGTGCTACAAAAAAAAAAAACAAAGAACGCTTCCGCTGGCAAAAATATAAATAACATAACAAAATAACGAAAAAGGTCGCTGGGTTAATTTTCAATTGGTTTATATGGGCGCTGATACAATAAAATCAACCCTTCTGTTAAACATTTTCGTGATACTGCGTATCTTTCTTCTAAAACTTGGAGCGGGTTAGAAACAAACAACAAAGAAATAGGTGGGTTGGGAAGTCTGTCGGCACCAGGTCACGTGGGGTTCAGCAACTCCTTCGTCCGCAGCTCGATCAAACTACTAGATTCAACGAAGCGCTCTGTTTATATGTATTTCGCCCGACTCCTGTACCAAAATTCATATCAATATTAATATCAATTAATTATTTTCTCTGACCTTGGAGAAATGACACCGACCCTCAAATAGAGCAGTCAGTTATTTAAAACAATACACCTTAATTTTACCAATAACAAACTTTGTGTTTGAAAATTATTTTTATTTCCCTGTCAAAGAATTTTCTTTGTCGTTGATCTTCAATATGACTGATAAAAATCGCACTGTGTAAATTTTGACTTTACAAATAATAACCCAATTCGTTTCTCGGCCAACAATTACGTTTTCACATTCCTCGAGATATATTTTAGACAGCCTACGTCATCGGCTTCGCGATTTGTAATAACAATTCGTTTTTCGATCGACAATTAATATTCATATCAATTATTTTCTCCAATTGTGGGGAAACGACACTGACTTTCAAACAAAGCGGTCAATTGTTCAAAACAATACCTTCTCCAACAACAAAATTTTCCCGATAACAAACTTTTGTGTTTAAAAATTATTTCTATTCTATTGGTGTCATAGAATTTTCACATTTTTTATTCCTCAGGATATATTACATTCCGGCTTTGGGGATTCATAACAATTGTATTTTCCTATCAGTTTATCAGGAAAAATTCTCTTTTTTACCTTGCTCTACATTCCAATTCATGTTTTCACCTTAACGATTTTAACGTTTTTAATTCTTCCACTTCTCCAATTCGTATAGAGGCTTTTCACACGAACCCATTTAATTCCAATTTCATACTACCAGTGTCATAATAGTGCCACATATATACCAGATGTAACGGCAAAATTGTTCAAATCATATAACTGCATAATTGTCCATCCCACAAAATGTTTAACATCTGAAAAAAAACATCAAACTAATTGAGTTTTTTTCCAGATTTTTAGATAAGATGTTTATACATTTTAACACCGTTTGTCGTAAGAATCACTGAATCCTTTGAGCTATCAGCTAGAAAGGAACAGATTAAAATCGTATTGTGCCCCACTATGTCTTTCCAAATGAGCAATGGTGAGACGAAAAAGATCATTCAGGCCTTCAGTAATGGTACCAACATCCATAATCTAGCTTCCATCTTCAAAGTCCATTCATTGAACCATCAAAACAGTGAATAAAGTTTTAAAAAGAGACAACAGTAGAGAGGAAAACTGGATCAGTAGACCAGAACAGCAAGAGAGATCATCATTTCAACTTAGAGCTAAAGAAATCAATTGGAAAAGATCCAACTCAATTCATAAAACTTTTGGCACGTGAGAGAGGAGTTTTAGCTATGACAGTCCAAAGAGCAATGAAAAAAGACTTGAAAATGAAAATCGTACGTGAAACCTGGGAGACACTTGTTACTCCAGGACAGAAAGGTAGAAAATTAGAGAGGGTGATTCTGGAATAATCTTCTAAACAGATCAAAATAGTTTTACATAGGATTCATTAAAAAACAGATGCAGTGGACGTATTCTGACTTCAAATCCTCATGAGAGAAACAAAATGCCACTTTCAAGTGCAGAAACCCTGCCATGGTAATGGCTTTTGCCTATGTGGCCTCTGATGTCAAGATATGCCATTGATCCTGTTTGAGAAAGATGAGAGACTGACAGGAGTTTGCAGGAGTTTGCTATGTTCAAATTTTGAAAAAGTTAAAGACTTGGATTCTTTCTGAATATCCTGAGGCTAGAGACAATCGAAACTCTAACAAGATCAATAAGGACTTCAAATTTACATTCGAGCAAGATGGAGCGCCTTGTCACATGAGCACAGTGACTCAATAATTTCTCAGGGATGAGTTCACGAACAGGTTTTGGGATTAGGAAACTTTGTCTTCTTCATCGTCTGAATTGAACCCCTTAGACTTCTGGAACGAACTGGCCAGAAAAGCTTGTGAGATGCCTCATAGTAACCTGAAAGCTCTCAAAAAAAGTCATCAATAAGACCTGGGTGAAGAACATTGATGAAAAATTCATTCACCACTCGTCAGGGTGAGGTAAAACAATTGAATTCCTTAACAGGTGTAATATCTATATACGCTATTGAAAAGAAAAAGGAAGAAAATAGACTAAACAAATGTTAGCAAAGATCATATAGATCAACATATTAGACCCCATTTAAATTATCGTAATATTCAAGATAGATGGTTAGATATATAGATACACACATACATATGAACAGGCTGAGATAGATAGATAGATAGATAGATAGATAGATAGATAGATAGATAGATAGATTAGTAGGTAGGTGTTGATTGCCCCATCTTCACAGATGACTGCCATTTTGCCTATCAACATCTACATTCAATCTAGATCATTGTTTCCTCTTGAATGACTTCCAACGTAGCTCTTCTAACCAGCAGCTGATTTTCAAGGCCTATAGCACAGATGACAAATATGTTCCAGAGTTTTCACAGGGTTAAGCAGATGTTGCTGTTGTAGGTCATCCTTGTGCACCACCATATGCCTCTTCAATCGAGATGTGGATTCACATACTTCCCTGCAGATCACACATGCAGTATCACCGGGTTGTAGAGGTAACACAGATTGAAGTCGTCTCTCACGTGATTTCAGATGATTAACATACCCAGCTTTTGACAGTAGAAACGACCACATGTCTCGCATTTCCAGCTTGCAGTGCTGTCATCCAAGCTCCTGATGGTAGATAGGTACATATATACTTACATATATATAAACATGATGAAATAGATATGAACAGAGTCAGATAGATGGATATATACATGCATATGTTCATAGATACATAGATAGATAGATGCTTATGCAATTTTGGCATATAAAAAGACGTTAACTGGTGCATCTTGCAAAATGTTTACTGTCTGATATATTCCACGATTCGCCATCTTCTTTTTCTTAATTTTTGTCCCCTGAGATGACACTGAAGAACGGCAGGTGATTTACATGTCTTGCAAACGTGGCAGATGGAACTCGACATCAAACCACTTTGTTCCTTTTGTGCGCAGTCGTCTGTCTTTTTAATCCAGCAACTGACTTTTAAAAAAAAGTTTGTTGCAGACGATAAAGTCGGTCTCTTCTGAGCATAGAAGTAGCATGGTGATCGGCGACCTGCTGCTTTGAATTTCAGTAAATGACTAACATAGCCTGCTTTGGAAAGCCCCTCGCTTCACACACAACGCACACATACAAAACACACACACACACACACACACATATATATATATATATATATATATATTATGAAATGGACAAAGTCAGACAATTATTTTTTAAGACATTGTTAAGATTATACATTCTTTTTATAGATAAAAATATTTAAGTAAATTCTCTGTTTATAATAAACACTTTTAAACAACATCTACCGGCCTGAATGACCGAGAAATTTTCATAGAAAATATTCATCCTCCGACAGGAATCGAACCTGTATCCTATACGAAACCGTCATTTAGCTTGACGTGCCTTAACCGATTCGGGCACAGAGGAGCCTTCGGTCGATTTTACTGTCTTTAAACTTCAATCTTCCATGATTCTCTCACGTACATTCATATCTGCCCATGGCGTATCCAAATGTAAACGCCGGATCATCAAATAGCACTTCCAAAGATTTTTGTAAGTGCTGTCTGATGATCCGGCGTTCTTTAAAAGGACTCTGGTGAAATAAATTATTATAATAGTACCTTAAAGTGGTTTGTTTTTCTTTAAAATATTAGATCTGGATTTACATTGCGCTCTCAGGATTACCTATGCGGATTACCAAGTTCTTCATAACGTAACTATATATATATATATATAGAATTGGGAACCCATGTCAATACCGAGTAATGACAGTCTGTTTCATTCTTGAACGCAATCTTCAGGGCGGAATACTGCATTCCAGTATGAAACAAACTGTTGCAATAACACTTCTTATATTTACACATACTCTATACAAGTTTGTTGTATCCTAGAAAAGGTTACTGAATGAGGAATAACCAAAACGGAGGTTGGAAATGAAATGGTAATCTTTATAACATCAACAAAACAAAATACTCGCCAGCGGCGTGAAGTAGGTAAACCACTGCTAGTTGTGGACTACTTAGCATATTTCCTCCCACTTACAATAGTGTCCAATGTATTTATGAGGATTGGGACATACGCATTAGTGTTCATAGCTACGGTATATAACAAAGATATTGAACATTTTTATACTATAAATATGCGATATCATAAAACTATATTTTCATTTACACAGAGACACAGAGAGGCGTATATATATATATATATATATATATATATATATATATATATATATAATTGGGTATTTGGGCAACAATCCCTCTCTTATACAAGTTTCATTACAGACGACTGACAAGGTACTGTGCTCAAGCTGTTTACTTAATTTTTCTTATGTTCGTTTAAATGTTGACTTTATATAAAGTGTAAAAAAATATGGCCTACAGTTCTGCCTAACTGACCGCTTTTGTCTGTTCATTTACCCATTATCAAGGGCGATTTATTATTATTTTTAACTGAAGGAATGGTCTTATTGTGTGTATCTAGTGTTATACTAATGTTTTATTTTCGAAATACGGTCAGTACACGGATATCTTAAACTATTTCTTATAACTCCCAAGAAATCCTAAATCATATTTCTGTCATAAGTATAATTTGTACAAAGAAAAAATATATCTCTTTAATTCTTCTTAAAACTTTCTAAATCTTTCTGGCGACCAACATACTAAATCGAACACGGAATTACTCAACCTACGACCAAACTGCCATCTCTCATGCGCTTTTGTACCGCAAATCTTAGACCTTTAAGCTAACTAAAGATTAACAACTTACAGCGGATTAAAACCGTTACTTAAAGCTGAAAGTTATGAATAGCCAGAAAAGAAGAAGCCAACTTTTAAACGAATAATTATAAAAGCTCGTTAATGAACTTAAATAAAAAAAATAATTAGGAAGCGTGACAAATCTAATATTTTTGTTATTTTGAGAAAAAAACAACTATGACAGAAAAAAGAAATTCATTCTATTCTCCGTCAATTTTTTTTAAATAAATAAAAATCTCAGCATCCTTCTTAAGATACAAAGAAACAGACTAATTCCAATTAATAATGCAGATGTTCTATCCTGAAACTTAAGAAAATTATAGGGGAATGTTATTCTTACTATTTATACGAAAACAAAATTTAATTCCCTCTACATCCCATAATTTATTCAATTCCAATTCTTGTATACGAATTATCTAAAGCTCTAAAATAACTGATCCAGCCATATTTACGTAATAAATATAGCACTAGTTCCACAAATGAATTCCTTGATTTATTGACTTCTAATAAACCTAAAATTGGCATCATAGCCTCTTTGAACGTTAAAAGTCTTTTTTACTAAAATTCCTGTCAAAGAAACCCTAGACATAGTAATACAGGACGCAGTGGAAATACATCCCATATTTGAAACTATCAACTCTGTGGTGCTAGTGAAGTGGCAATGGTGTCTTTATGAAGCTAAAGACTTACCATTATGTGAAAGAGATTTCTGCCTATATAATCACCCAATTCTTAATATTAGACCAAAAATTATATGAAAACTTTAAAGTCCATCTAAGGACGGAAGAATAAACGCGTCGGCTAAACGAATAAATGCGTCGGCTAGACGCAATCGTCACGCCTGACGATTGCGTCTAACATGAAACAGACTGTCGCCTCTAAGTGTTGACTTCAATGTTCACTTTTATATTTACACATGCCCTATCTCTGATATTGAGCATTTTATCCCATAAATATAGCACACCTTAAGAGTATATTTATAGTTCTATTAAATCTAGACATTCAGTTGATTCAAAGCTTGGATGGCGTTTATCAGCTTCTGTGAGGTTTACATAATCGGTGTATAAATTTTTTTGGTCGGGTGCTCTGCAATTGACTGAATTTGACATAATTACACACTTAGCAGAACCAAAGTCTAATTGAGTTGTGAGGAGTTGATTTTCATAAAACAGCGGGAGTTTAGTTAATACAATGTTCATTATTACATTCAAAATAATGGATCCAGTCGAGATACTTCTGTATGTGTGAGGGTCTTGGGAGTTACCTCAGTATGTCAAGTGATGCTTTATTACTCATTAGCTTTACTTTTTCATCATTAACTTCATTATTAATTAATTAATAATTATATTTGGAGACAAATGCTGTAATGCCCGGATGTATCCTGATGTATGTTCTATTTCAACCGTCAACTTCAGCTTCCCCATCTTTGAAGTTGGATTCGACGTGCTTTTTCAAATCAGGACATCTTCTCTATTTTTGTTCCATTTCACCCCAAGCAAGGCGGCAATGCCACAAGTACGCAGGGGGTTACAAAAAGTGGAGGCGAGAGAAAAGACTATATATGGGCGGGGATTGAGGAAATGATAAAAGATGAACGGGATTCAAGAAGATAGAAGATGGCGATTGATGTAGCATTTAATTTTTTGAAGATTGTAATTATCAGGGAAGCAAGTAAATGGAATGGAAGTGTGGGAAATGTGATAAAAGAAACTATTGGAGTAGAAGTGGCGGCTGTATTCAGTTATTTCAATAGTAAATGGGTGGGACCTAAATGCCAATCTAGTATCATGATTAAATTCATGTAGCCGGGGCACCAGGGGAAAAATCTCGTCAGAGTAGTTGCCACGAAATTATTTGTAGAAAAGACAAAAATAACTGAAGTCGAGCTGCCAGGTCAGGATCGATTTCATTGCAGATCCTTCTTTAGATTTTGTCAAGAATCTCGAGATGAATAGCTGGCAAACCAGACCAGATATGGCTACAGTATTCAATGCACGGCGAATGGAAGATTTGTAGACGTGCAAGTGTGGATTGTATGATGCTATTACATTTTTCCCTTTTTGCTCAATATTTCAGCACAATGCCAATGTTGTTTAGCTTCATTAATTTAGTTTCTTGTTTTCTGGAGATATTTGTTTCTTAGATTATTAAATAATTTATATATTTTTATATTTATTTTGTTAATTGCTCACCATGTTTCCCCTCGCTTTCATTCCCCTCCTGTTTGTTTCTTTGTAGCATCAATCTTTTTTTTTTTTAAATCGGATTTGTCTTCCTATGGAATTATCTTCTTCCCACCTAGATATTCTTCGAATTGTCCCACGTATTTTGTCTAAGGAAAATAAGATTCCAATCTTTATTCCTTAGTTTTGTTATGGTCAAGATTTCGTAATATCAATTTGACTCTAGTTTATTTCCGAATTCTACTATTCTTGGAGAATATACCTAGCTGCCATTCGTGTTTGATCTCAGCGGTTGCACACTATTTTTTTTTTTTTTTTTTTCCACGAAGAGTTTGCCATTATATATATATATATATATATATATATATATATATATATATATATTTAAATATTTATGTTTTCTGTCTGTACCCCGATGAATTTGTAAATCCATTTATTGTTGAAACCTTTGGTCTGATGAGACAAGACTGAGGAATCGGTCTTGCGAAATAAAATATTACTATCAGTTTCTAAAATCTCCATTTTCATCATCATCATTATATATATATATATATATATATATATATATATATACATGCCAAAATCAAGAATCTATTTAGTTACTTTGTCCAGGACCTCGGATACTTCATGTGGTAATTACCCGCATGTAGGACGATACAGGATTCAAGTAAATTCCGAAGCATTTTCATGAGGCCAAACTGGTTTGTTTTATATGAGTTTCATTCTCCTTTGGACGTTGACGATGTGACACTCCACAATTTCCTGTCCTTTATAGATCTTAGTAAATTTTGTCTTTTTCTGTCTCTCCTAAACATTATACACAACCTCGTTAGGAAAGTTATGCGCTTATTTTTCTTTTGACCCCTTGCTTTCAATATGTCCTGTGAGTGTCAAACTTTCTAAACCCTCTTTCCTCAGAAGCTACTATTTTTGAAGCGGAAAAAAACATATTTTAAATCAATTAATTTATAATATTAATGCTCTGTAAATTTACATTGAGCACTATTTTGTAAAAATAAAAATATCTATAAGAACACCGGATTATATATCTTACTGTTCTTTCTTTATATATATATATATATATATATATATATATGAAGAAATATAGTTTTAAGGTGTGCTATATTTATGGGATAAAGTGCTCAATATCAGAGACAGTGCGTATGTAAATATAGATATAAAAGTGAACATTGAAGTCAAAACTCAGAGACAACAGGCTGTTTCATGCTGGGCGCGGCCTGACAATTGCGTTCAGCATGAAACAGCCTGTCGCCTCTGAGTGTTGACTTCAATGTTCACTTTTTCATATATATATATATATATATATATATATATATATATATATATATATATATATATATGAATGAATGTATGTATGTATGTGTATATTTGGGTTAGATATCATATTATATTACATTGCACTATAAAGGATTGCTGGCTGACCACTCTAATGAGAAGGTGGGATTGGGCAACTTTCTGCTTCTCTCTACATATATATATGTTATTCCTTTGGCACCTCGAGGTTATGTAATGGTTTGCTAGCTTGTCTCGCTAGAACAATTACGACTGAATAGTGAGTTCGATCCTCACTGGTTGCCCCATGTTTTCGGCCTTGTGCCACATCTAAGGTTCGCTTGGAAAATCACTATATGTGTGAGTCCCTACATTGAACCCGACACTGCATCCCATTTTCATCCTTATGGGAAAACAAAGTCATACTAAAATCTGCGAAACAACAGCCATGGCGTGAGAAAAACAACCGAAATAGGAAATATATTGGAAAGTCGTTAAAAAGGATGAAAACAACAATTATTTCTACGAAAATAGGCAAATAGTCACCGGAAGCGTTGCAAGAAGACGAATAAAAAGAATCGAGAGAATTTAAAAGAAATAAAAAAGAAAAAAAAAACACACGAGAAGAATGCAGACAACAAAATAAGGAAAACTTGCAATTGTATTTTCAGTTTTAACTGAAGTCTGCTTTCAAAAGGATCGTAAAAAAATATCCGTTATCGATTGTAAATCACACTCTCCCTCTTTCTTTCCTACTCTCTCTCTTCCTCACTCTCTCTCTCTCTCTCTCTCTCTCTCTCTCTCTCTCTTTCACATTCTTCCCTATTTCTCGCTTTTCGACATCTCTCTTTCCTTTTCTCTCTCATCTTTTATTTTATTTCCTTCCGTTCACCTCTTTTCATCTCTCTCTTCCCCGTCTTCTCTCATTTTCTTTCTATCATTTTTACTCTCTCTTTTATTTCTTACTCTCCATTCTCTCTTTCCTTCTTTTATTTTCTTCTTTCTCTTTTGTTATCTTTCCAACCTCTCCTTCACACTTTTCTTTTTTCTCTTCATTCTTAACCTCTCTTTCCCCCTTTTTCTCCTCTTTCCCTCTGTTGCTTCCCCGTTTTCCCCTCTTTCTTCATATTATCTTCTCCTTTCCTTCTTAACCTCCTCTATTTTTCCTTCTCTTCCTCTCTTTTTCATCTCCCTATTTCTTCTTTCCCTTTAGGTTCTCTGTTTAACGTCTATTATTTTCTTCCTCTCTTTTCTCACTCTTCCCCTCTCCTTCTTTTCACACCCGTTCTCTCTCTCTTTTACGCAAGCACACACACACACGGACATGTTTTAGTCCACGTTATTCAGAAAAAAAAGTTTTCTTAAGTCAATATATTCAAAAGATCCGTGACCTCAAAAACTTTATTCTTTTCTAACTTTTCTGTTTTCAGTTGGAGCTTCTGAAAAGTTCACTCCAGTGCTCGCCATATGACCAAACAAAACGATAATTGTCAACTCATTTTTTTCTTTCAGAGTACTGTTTGGTAATTGTGTTTACGCAATGAGTATTTCAGATCTTAGAACCACTTTCCAAACAACTCCGAATGGCTTTTATGTCCATTGCCAAAAAAATGAAGCAAAAAAAGAAATCAAATAAATTCAGGACGAATTCATTCTTTAAGAAACAGAAGACAACTACGAAAGGGGCGTCGATTGTTTTTGTCACGATTTCAATCGCGTTGTTCGTGCTCCATGGCATTTTATACAATTGAACTTTTTGAGTCGTACTTACATGAAAATACATGAAGATGTCAACTTACTCTATCCAACATTAGGTCAAATACGGATACATATGGAGTCAGGAAGATTGTGTTACGCCAAAATTTCAAATAACCTAAGTACCTTTATAATTAACATTCGAAAACCTGGCATTCACCTTATCTCGAACATCGAGAATAAGAAAATGACAACGACTTCAACCACAAAGCAAAAAGCAATCTGATAGCATCATTTGTACTATTTACGCTCGGACTATTATCCTGATCTATGTTGTTGTTATCACAACATTTCGATCGTGGTGTATGTAGATTGATGTGTGTTGTGGTGTAATGGATATCCGCTCGGAGTTAGAACTCGGAGAGCAGAGTTCGAATTCCAATCAAATTCGTTCGATTTACTTTCGCACAAATAGCCTTTGGGAAAGGTATTGATCCATCTCTTCTCCCCACTAGCTATGGGTTGAATAGCAGGACAGGCTGGATTCTTTAGCCTTGGTTGGCAATCAGTCTACCACAGAAAGTAATGTCAACCTACTTCTTGAAAAATCTGCCTCGTCAGTCATGTATCTTTCGATACCTTATAGCCCAATCGTATACCATGTATGGTACTTGAATGAATGACTGTATTTAGATCTGAGTAATCAACTGAACACTTTATTGAATCTATGAGGATAGACTATTCCCCTTCCACTGCTCATGTCTAGGAATATCGCGTCTAGTTTTTTATATTTAGTACTGCTCAATTATTGCTCGCACTGTTTCCACTGAATACAAGTACACACTGCCTGTCCTAGGGATTGAACTCACAATTACTATTTCACCAAATTCACAAACCTAAGTTTTAATCCACTCGGATACTGCCGAGAAGTGCGACAATTCTCTGTGGAGGTGTTGGAGCTAAACTCTACGTCCTCGTTATTCAGACAAAAATTATTTCTGTTTGAAAATTTGTGCTAATGAATATTTTGGTGTGTATAACTCTGCAACTCGGTGAGCATGTATTTACACAATTGATATTAATTCGATGAAGATTGTGTTGCGTCAATCTTTTAATTAGAGAAACGTTGCTTTTCGCGAGAATTAGCATCAAGAATTCTTATCTTTTCCAGGACTCAAACATCGACTAAAAACACTGATAGAAAAATCGGCTGTGTTCGGCTGTGTTAATATGGCTATATGTGCAGCATGATAGTACCTCACGCCTAAACTAAAAAAGTAGAAAAGGTAAAGTTGATAAATATAGCTTTAGGCAAACTAAAACAGAAAGTATAATTAAAACGATCTTCAGGGTAGTTGTACAAAAACAACTAAATACAGGGAGGCGATTCAAACAATGCTGGACTATGTGAACTCAGTAAGACCTTTGATCCAGTTCACAATGGAAGAAGAAAATAATAAGCTAACCTTCCTGGATGTGATAATAATTCCCACAAGGAATGGGTTTAAAACATCCGTATATGATAATCCAACCTTTACCGGACAATCTCTCAACTTCAATTCCTACAATCCGTACAGTGTGAAGAAAGGGATCACTCGACGCCTACAAGACGGAACAAAAATCAGTGACAACCCGCAAACATAACAACAAAAAATGCTCAGCATCAAAAATACCCTTCAAAATAACAACTGCCCAGCAAACATAAAATCAGCGTCTACAGAAGGGAAAAGGAAAGTGACCAGAAAGTTGCCACAATCTGTCTACGTCAAGGAATATCGAAAGGCTTTAGTGAGGAATGAGAAACAATGAAATCCGTTGACGCTGATCATGTATGAAGGTAAAATAGTCGTCATCAGCCTTTGTGGAATGAAGTGAAAATACTGCACAAGGAACAACAGAGGAGAGGAAATACGCGCATGAGTTATGAAGAACTCTTTAGTAGGCCTAGCATAGAAATAAATACGATATGAGAGCCGCTTATAATGACAACAAGTCTTTAATCATAGCAGCGATAATCCAAACATTGTATACTTTGGACGCTCCCGTCGTTGATCGACGCGAACTGTTGACCTGCGCCTACCGGGTAATCTTTTATGATGTATGAGAGTCAGGCCACTCAGTACCTACGAACCGAAAGCCAGACAACCTGCACATATGGTTTGATTATAGTGGTGAAAGTTTTGTGAAGAGCCGAATACAGAAACCTAGTGCACCGTGTGCCACAAGGTCCTTAAACGACCCTCCACAGACCAGTTGCCATCCAAGGCTATAGAACCCGGTCTTTCCTTCTATTTACCCATAACTGTTGGGGTGGGAGAAGAAGAGGACTATGTATTAGCACGAAAGTGAATGTAACGGATTCAACTGGAATTCGAACTCGGCTCTACACTTCCTCAATCCGCGCCGCTATCTATTACTCCATATATCCATAACGCCAATATATATGAATTTATATAGATAAATGCAATAAAAGTCATATCTGACGATTATATTAAATTATTAGATTACTTTTAAAAATAATGATTTTTTTTTTGTTAAATTTAAAATTCGTTAATGTTTTTGGATATTCGAAAAAAAACGTGCCATCTCTCCTTGGGTTCGCTTGACCTTGAAATTGACAATCTTAATTGGCCAGGTTTAAGAGGAGTTCGTAATTGGCCCAGTTTAGGAAGAGTGATTAATTGGCCAGGTTTAGGAGGAGTGCATAACTGGCCAGGTTTACGAGCAGTGCTTATGTGGTCAAATTTACGAGTAATGCTTAATTGGCCAGGTATACGAGGAATGCTTAATTGGTCAGGTATACGAAGAATGCTTAATTGGCCAGGTATACGAGGAATGCTTAATTGGCCAGGTTTACGAGGAGGGCTTAATTAGCCAGGTTTACGAGGAGTGCTTAATTGGCCCGGTTTAGGAGGAGTACTTAATTGACCAGGTTTACGAGGTGTGATTACTTTGCCAGGTTTAGGAGAAATGCATAATTGTCCAGGTTTACGAGGAGTGCTTAATTGGCCAATTTTACTAGGAGTGCTTAATTGTCCAAGTTTACGAGGAGAGCTTACTTGGCCAGGTTAACGAGGAGTGCTTAATTGGCCAGGTTTACGAGGAGTGCAGAAAGTGATATCGTTTTGTACGCATGCATCAAATAACCAGGTTTGCGAGGCGGGCATAAAGTGTTCAGATTTTGCGTGTGAGCATAAAATAGCCAGGTTTATGAGGCATTCATGAAATGGCCAGGTTTAGAAGCTTCGCTCAAAATGGCCAGGTTTAAAAGTCGAGCAGAAAAGGCCACTTTCAGAAGGCGTTTATAAAATTACCAGGTTTAGGAAACGTGCATAAAATGGCCATGTTTAGGAGGCGTGTTTTTAATGCCCAGGGTGAGCATAATATGTCAACGTTTAAGAGGTGTGCATAAAATATCAAGATTTTGGGGGCGAGAATGAAATTCCCAGCTTTATGAGGCATTCAGTTTAAGGGCAATCATAAACTTGCAAGGTTTAGTAGGCGTGCATAAAATAACCAGGTTTAGGGGTTAAGTATAAAATTGATCAGGTTTAGCAAAACATTTTGTATTTCGATATTATATCTTGTCGGTAGGAATGTAAGTGATTCCCTATTATATCGGGATATATTCCAGAATTTCCTCTCTGCTGAACAAATATATGATCCTTTTTCTTCTATGTACTTCGTCTCTTCAGGACGAGAGTGATCATAGCTCTCCACAACTTCATGACATCTCTAGGTCTAAGTAAGTAAATATTGTATCACTAACCCATTATTATTTCCCAAAAAATTTTAAATTACATACAAAATATTTATATTTCGATATTAAATAATCCATAGATGTTGATATGCCGCTAAACAAAATCAACCAACTAAACAAACTAACCTGACTTACAAATCGCTCCATATGACGCTTCTATCAATTTCCTGACTCTCCGGTGATTTTCTCTATTATTTTGAGCTCATCATCGAAAGTGTAATATTAACCCTTCTCTCTATATATGTAAAAAAAAGACATAGCTCATTTTCCTTCAAGTACTGTACATTTGAAGAAATTTGTAAAATTGATCGGCTAACGTTTTGTCAATAACAAAAACAACACAAAAAATGACATGAACATTTCGTTCAGCTTATGAAATGAATTTGGATTTTCTTAAACTCATAGACACTGCCTGTTACATTGATTGGGAGTAAATATTTTTAGTAACACTATTAGTCACTTCAGTTTTGTCTTCAGCGATCCGTCACTGAATGTTCCAATGTTTTGATTACATTGTTAGCAAAATCAATAGCAATTCCAAAATATCTTCAGTGATGCATTTGCTGATTTGCTGATTTGTTCTTTCCCAAATGTTTGTCCGAAGAATCTAGGCACCGCATTTAATCAGGAAATAGAAAAAAAAACAATAGAAGTACCCAAAACGAGAGGAAAAACCCTCTTTCCATGCGGTCAGTCTAATTTTGTTATCCCTTTAGAGCAGAAAGAGATGCAAGTTAAAGAGCAATGATTGGAGAATC